ATCAGAAGTTAGCTGGCGGCGCTATGCTTTACAGCTCTGGGTGTGCTTTACAGACAAGCACACAGCAATGATGCGCAGAGCATAGCAACCACCCTGGGAGGGCCTGTGGGCCATAACAACCAGTTGGCCAATCAACACAGGGCAAGCCCTCCAAGCCTGGAGGCACACCAATCCTGAGCCTGTGCGTATCCCTAGACACTCCCCTTACGCTGCCCTACAAGACCTATACAGCCAGTTGGAGCTGTCTTTCTTAGCCATCTGCCATGGTGGGAAGACCCGAGATAACATGGGGTTAGCTCCTTAAACAACTATAAAGCCTCATGCAGTTTGCAGCAAGTTTTTGAATCTGCCTGGTGATTGGGGTGACTGAGGTCCTGGGCTGGGACCCAGGAGGCCTGAGCTTTCTGGGGGTCTAACATCTGTCCTACCTGGTCCTGCAGCTGTTTAGTCCCAAATCAACACATAGAGACATATTAATTATAAACTGTTTGGCCAGTTGCTCAGGCTTCTTACTGGCTAGCTCTCTCTTATTTATTAACCTATTTTTATTAGTCTGTGTATCTCCACGTGGTCTTGACTTACCAGTGATGGCTGGGTCTCTGGCTTCCTCAGCAGCTACATGGTGCCTACCTGACTCTGCCTACTACCTTTCTCTATTCCTGCCTGGCTAAATCCTGCCTGTCCATTGGCCAAAACACCTTTATTTATCAATCAATAAGAGAAATATATATTCGCAGCATACAGAAGGACATCCCCCATCAGCTACAGGCAATAAATCCTTTTTGATTGTGCTCATTTTGGCTTGTGGTTGGTCACCAAGATCTGAGCTCCCATTGTTCTCTCAGTTAGTGTTAAGTTACTTTGCCAAAATGGGAGGAGGAGAGGTAGGGTGACTCTACGAACTCTTAACACTTTTTTTTTTTAAAATCTTTGTGCAATTTGCCTTAACTTTAAATTAAATTGAAGACTGTTTTACAGAAGGGGTGGTCACCTCTTATATACCAGGAAGTAATAGAGAGATTGCTGTCTCTGGTCTAGCAAAACAACACAAGTGCCTCAGCCTTTTAACCTTGCTCAGTGTGTCACTATGGGACAGATTAGGGAAGCTTGACCTTCCTTCCCTAGGGGATATGCTATCTCTCTGCAAAGGCATTCATCTAGAAGTTAAATACTGGGTAAAGTTCACTGGGGGGAAAAGGATTTAATGTTACTTAGATCTTGAAGGAGAATGAGGACATGGCTGCTCCCAGGTTTTGTTGAGGAGATTTTTATTGTAGCTATGAGGGAGAGTACAGCCAGAGGCATCTGGAAGGGTCCAGACTGAACTGGGCCATCAGAGGAAAGGGGGCGGGGAGGAGTGGGAGAGGGAGAGAGATCAGAAGAGAGAGGGCAGGCAGACCAAGAGCCCATTTACCTAGGAATGAGAAGCTGGGCAAAGGGAATGGAAACCCAGCCCCTGGACAGGAGAGAGTAGGGGGTGGGGTGAAAAGGACTGGGAGGAGTCACAGGTACTGAGTGAGCCTTGTCCTAGGTTTCTTTGAGAGCTGAAAGATCTGTTACAAAGACTAAGAAATCTCTCTGTGTGTGCCTCTGTCTCTCTCTTGTTTTTTTTGTTTTTGTTTTTTTGTTTGTTTGTTTGTTTTTTTGTTTGTTTTGTTTTTTTTGAGACTGGGTTTCTCTGTATCTTTAGAGACTGTTCTGGAACTCATTTTGTAGACCAGGCTGGCCTCAAACTCATAGAGATCTGTCTGCTTCGGCCTCCCAAGTGCTGGGATTACAGGAGTGTGCCACCGTTTGCCAGCAGAAGAGTCTCTCTCTTTTAAACAACTGAAACTGTGAGTGAAGAACTTTTGTTGAAATGACCGAAAGTAAGGGAATAAAAAGCCAGATCCCAGAGCCATTACTGTCAACCTCACAACCCCATACCGTTTAATACTGAAAAATCATATATGCGTATTTATTGTGTCGGGAAGGCACATGTGCCAAAGCACTCGTCAGAGGTCAGAAGACAATTGTGGACTCTGCCTTCTCTTTTCTTTCTTTTTTTGGTTTTTCGAGACAGGGTTTCTCTGTGTAGCTTTGGAGCCTATCCTGGCACTTGCTCTGGAGATCAGGCTGGCCTCGAACTCACAGAGATCTGCCTGCCTCTGCCTCCCGAGTGCTGGGATTAAAGGCTTGTGCCACCAACGCCCGGCCTGCCTTCTCTTTTCACCATGTCAGTTACAGGGATCAAACTCAAGTTATCAGGCTTGGTGCCAAGAGCCTCTACCTGCTGGACTTTCTCCCATTCCACTCCACTTACTTTTGTGGAAACTACAGGTGCTGGCAGCCAGGCAGTTCCTTCTTCTGGTGGCTCCTGCTGCCTTAAGTGCCCACAGATACTTGAAGAGACTTGGTTTCAGCAGTACAGGCTGCAAGGAAATTTCCAGAAAGTCACAGAAACCCTGATAGTCCTTGCATATTTCCTACAGAAACCACTTCATCTGTTTCAGAGCAAGGTCCCCATGACGACAACAGCAGCCTAAGGCAACCCCCCCCCCCCCCCCATCAGGGTTTCTCCCCCCCCCCCCCCCCCCCTCCTGTCAGCATGTCCAAGTTCAGGAGATCTTGTTCCTGGGCATTGTCCCCCCACCCCCGTGCTACAGCAGAGACCCCAATAAAACCCTATCTGGGTTCCTTTATTTGTCTATGCCTGTGGCCTTTTATCAAAGAAAGAGTGAGCTGGGCTACCTGCATGAAGAGCAGACAGCACCAGGGCTGGTAGAACAAGCACACTGTTAGGGTTTTTACTGCTATGACAAAACACCACAACCAAAAGCAAGTTGTGGAGGTGAGGGTTTATTTTGCTTACACTTCCAGGTACCAGCCCATCATTTGGGGGGGCGGTGTCAGGACAGAAACTCAAATAGGGCAGGAACCTGTGCCCACTTCCCCAGTGCTGGGATTACCTGTGCATCAACATGCCCCACTTCTTTACATGGTTTCTAGGATTTGAACTGACTGATCAATTTCCCCAACCGTCTACTATCTTTATAGTTACTATTGTTGCCATAGAAACCAAATGCCAGTCATCTGAATTCCCAATGTCTTGCCTTCCACCTTCACTTCATTCCAATGGTTACTGTGGTCTGATGCCATCACCTGTGTGTATGTGAAATGCTTAACAAATATTCCAAAGACCTGATTGTCATTGTCCTTGAGGGAAGGAAAAAGAGAGCAATAAGGTGGAAAAGAAGAAAGAATAATTCTATTTCAGTTGTAATATTTTTTCAGTTGTAATATTTTTGTCTTTTATTTTTAAAAAAGCGTGAAGCAAATATGATATTGAGTCAGCACTTCTAAACCCTATGTGGTAAAAAAAAAAAACTATTATGTTGTATGGTTTTTCAAATCCCCCTATATTCACTATGTATATGTATTCACTATACATCAATATTCATTATGATTATGAAATGATTGCCCAGGATACAGGTTGATAAAAACTGAGAAAATAATTCATAAAGCCATTACATTCATAAGTAAAAACACATGAAAAATATCCTATCAAGTATTACTTGGTACAGAATCTAGAGTCATAAAAAGCAAAAGCTGGGTACTGCCTTTGGCATCAATTTCCCTTCCCCAGAGTCAAATACTGCTAAAAATTTTGAAGGTGCATTTCTAAAAATCCTTAATGAATCTACAAACACATGTGTCAACTCTAGAAGCATAAGATAGGCATATTTTGGATGACGCTTTGTTCACAATATAAAACATCTTAAAGATAACCTCACATAAATACAATGAAGACCTCACTTTTTATGGCTTCATGGTATGATGGATGTTGTGACATTCTGCAAATCACTGCTTTCAACCCATTTGAGTAATATTTACTATTATTCTGCATGCTGCTACTAGAAGGAAAACTCTATACTTCCATCCAGAAACCTTTTACACACATGCAAGTTGTCTATGTAGAGTAAGTTCCTTGGAGATGAATCTAAGCTAAAGATTTATAAGCATTCATGCTTTGCATGACCATTGCTAGAACCTTCTGGAAGGAAGTACAATACACAGAAGTAGTATTTCCTACCAAAAGGCATGTCATAACACATGCTGGTTATGTCATACGCCTGCTACCATAAGTAATGATTCTATGGATAGGAACTATTTAAATTCCTGTGCCCTTCCACCCATCACATTCTTTGCCAAGCTTTCTTTTGATCTTGGAAATTTTCTTTTATGCATAGAAAAATTTTTTGAAACAAGGTCTCACTGGGCATCCCTGTCTGGTTTGGGACTCACTATATTAACTAAGCTGGCCTCAAACTCATAGAGATCCCTATGTCTGCCTCCTGAGTGCTGGGATTAAACCTCCATGTATAAGAATTTTAGAGGAGAAAAAAACCTACTTATGGCCTTTACTGCCAGCATTTCCTCAGCATATTGTTTCTCAACCATTTTGTCTTTTTGTTGTTGTTATTTGTTTTTTTTTTTCCAGACAGGGTTTCTCTGTGTAGCCCTGGCTGTCCTGAAACTCACTCTATAGACCAGGCTGGTCTCAGACTCAGAGATTCTCTTGTCTCTGCCTCCTGGGTGCTGGAATTAAAGGTGTGCACCACCACCCAGTTTTTTGACATTTTTTTCTTGCAATACTTTTAATTAATCATTGTTTTCCTTCCTTCCTTCCTTCCTTCCTTCCTTCCTTCCTTCCTTCCTTCCTTTCTTTCTTTCTATCTTCTTCTCCTCCTCCTTCTCCTTCTCCTCCTCTTCCTCTTCCTCCTCCTCCTCCTCCTCCTCCTTCTTCTCCTTCTCCTTCTTCTTCTAGATAGGGTCTCTCTACAGAGTCCTGATCTATCCTAAAGCTCACTTTGTAGAGCAAACTGACCTTAAACTCACAGAGAACCACCTGCCTCAGTCTCCCAAGTGCTGGGATTAAAGGTGTGCACCACAATGTCTCAGAGACTTGCACACATGTCATTCATCTGCAAAGGCACGCGAGTGCACACCCACGAACACACACACACACAGAGAGAGAGACAGAGAGAGACAGAGAGAGAGAGAGAGAGAGAGAGAGAGAGAGAGAGAGAGAATCTTGATGCCAGCTAATTACCCTGGTATCTCTTACTATTACCTGAATTCTTCACACTTGTACTTACCCCAGGCATCAAGGAGAGTAGCTGATTTAGTAGATGACTATACATTAGATGTTTTGGTGTTTAGATGTTTAGATCAAAGAGTTTCAAAGTCATCTAGAGACCAACCCTGCCTAATTGAAAACTGGTATCTCCCTATCAAAGCAAAAGCTTTATAATATAAAGATGGGTTCTTGCCCTGGAAGCCAGACAGAGCAGAACATTGTAGAAAATGGCTGTCTCGAATTCCGCTGGAATGATCCCAAACACTACGCTTCTTTCCATTCCTGAAAATTGCTGAACACTAGTCAACAGGATGTTATTACCCAGAAATTCCGACTCTTCCCTGACCTGCATTAGTGAACTGGGTTCCTCGATGAGCTGAGACATGTTCCTCCTTCTCAATGCTAGGATAATCTTTTCTTTATATGTTTCTATATCTCTGGCTTTGCTGAAAAGAACAGCAACATCCCTGGGATAATACCCAGACCTCCAGAGATACCGGCACTTCTCTGCTACAAAGATTGCCATCTGTTCCAAACTCAAGGCATCAGTTATCTCTAAATTGCCTGTGACACCTGGAACCCTTTCAAGTTCTTGAACCATTGTCAGGGCCTCTGAGGGGACATTTGGGGGAGGATTTCTTCTGATTTGTTGCATTATTTCTTGTAGGTAGTTGGCTATGTTGTCTCCGCTCCGGAGCATCCTGGTGAGCTTCAATATAAACCTTTGGTGCTGAAGGTCAGGGAGGCCACTGCAACACAAGTGGTTGGTCTGAAAGTAATCCAGAAACACACAGAGAACTCCTGGACCGTCTCTGCCTCTCTGGATGATGGAGTTTGCCTTTGCATACCAGTTCCCATCTTCAGTTCGGAAATTCTGAGCATCATCCACGACGATGTGTTTGATGGTAAAAAAGGTATTTTTCATGAAGTATTTCCGTGACACTGCCTGGCAGATGTTTCTCTGGCTGAGAGTGTAAGAAACACAGTCAGGTTTCTTCAGCAAAGTCAAGCAAGTCAACCCAATCTATGGTTACAGTCCCTGAACATGGCTACTACTACAACCCAGAGCTTAGCCTGTGAAAACCACAACCGCTAACATTTCCCAGCAGAAAGAAACTAATGGAGTCAGGCTGCATACATACCTCACAAACCTCTTCAAAGCATGGTTCTCACAGATGTAGAGAATGTCTTCAGCTTGGCAGCTGAACACATTCCTAATCTTCTCCATGATCTTGAGAGCCAGAGTGGTCTTCCCTGATCCAGGTGAACCATGAACAAACAGCTCTCTGTTCTTGCAAAGATCCTTTAAAAGCAACTGATACTGTTGGTCTGTGAATAGGGTCACCGCCTCAGAGTTTAACTCTTCGTTTAAGAAGGATCTGAACCCAAACAAGACGATCACAAGGGATTGCAACAGAACTTCCATCTGCTGCATGGTTGTGAAGTTATAGGATTCGGGGTAGATGGGTATTTCTAAACCGGCCCTTACTGTGTGATGAGGACCCAGCTGCAAGACCAAGGGAATGATGCCTAATCTCCCAGGGTATCCACCCATGTTCGCCAGCCTCTGCTTCAGGGTACGGGCGACTGTCATAGCATACCACCTGTACCCCAGATCCCACTTGTTGCAAATGGTGTACAGGATTGGAACATTGTTTGGGGAAATTAGAAGAGCATCGCAGATGACACCCCGCCTCCTTTGAAGACCAAGATCCACAGCCCAGCTGTGGGAGAAAATCAATACCCCTTGAGAGAAAGAGCGCATTTCCATACTTATTAAGTTTCTTAGTCCTCTGTGATCCGAGAAGAGGTCCCTGTAGACACTTTCCGGAGTATATGTAATCCTGTCAGGTGACACTAGACAAGGAAAGGATCCAAATGAATTAGAGGCTCACAGGACAAGCTATTAGTCACCAATACTGTGGGAATCTTTCTGGAATAAGCACTCTGACACCAATGAGAGTAGAAGGGAGAAGATGCCACCGGGACAGCTCCTGAAAGCCTTCAAATGCCAGGTCCAGTCCTTACTTACATTTTATATTCTAAAACTACAAGGTGGAGTGGGTAAGCAAGCAAGATTTTACAAAAGGGTACAGGGCAAGTCAGCAGAATTTTAAGGGCCATGACCCATTGTTTCAACTATTTCTCCAGGTCATTCTGTTTCAGGTAGCAAGTGAAGTCATCCTTGGCAAACAAGCAATACAAGCAGTTGTTACCATCCTGGCCCCACCCCTCAGGGACCTGGCACACATGGCAGGCAGTACCCTGGCTCTGTATGCAGGTACAAAGGTCCCTTTAAGAGGAAACCTACACCCACTTCTCTCTGCCATTTCTCTGAGGAGGCAGACAGATCTGTCTCTCTCTCTCTTCTCTCTCTCTCTTTCTCTTCTCTCTTCCCTTCTCTTACTCCCTTCCCTTCCCCCAACAAACTTTCCACATAAGTTCTGCATGATGGTGTATTTGTCTCTCACCTACCATGAGACTCGATGAAGGTCCAACCTCGAGACATATTATTACAGTAGTGCTTTAAGTAAATCACTAAATAAGTTGATAAATCAGTATCTAATAACTGGTCTTTTCTACCTTACTCTACTTCACCATTACATGATGTAGATCCTGACAACCTTTGGGCCCTACTATGTGTTGAGGATCAGTTTTATGTCAGTAACAAAAAGATGAGAAATGCTGTGTCTGGGAAAACCCATAGCAGTTCAACTCTGAGTACAAAGTAGCAAAGGCAGCAAGAAAGAGCCTCACTGGAACTGTGTGAACGAACATTAGTGGAAAATACAGCTTGGCAAAAAAAAAGAAAAAAGAAAAAAGAAAAAAAAAAAAAAGACAGTTGCAAGTCTTTGTGGAAAGCACACTTGAGCCTCAGAGGGTGCTGTCTAGTTAGCCATCAAAAGGATTCGGGAATAGAGAGATAATAAAAGGAGAAGTGTGAGCTGGGAGTTTTGGCACACGTATTTAATCCCAGGACTCGGAAGGCAGAGGCAAGTGGATCTCTGTCGAGTTATAGGCCAACCAGGGCCACATAGTAAGACTGTCTAAAAGAGGCAGAAGTGTGTGTAAACACAGAGGCAACAAACCCCACAGTCGATTCAGATAACCCCACACAGCTTGTGTTTCCAGAAATGAGAGACAAAGAAAGGGAGATGGTGGTGTAGGGAAAGCATTCAAGAGCCATCTGGACACCTGGCAAGAGCCACATGCTGGCTGGTTTGGGGAGCAGATCAACACCTGCCACAGGTTATGAGTCATGGCAGCTTCATTACAGGAAAGGCAGCATGAAGGACATTTCGGTTTGTAAATGATGGAACTGTTTTGTATGTTGACTGTGATGGTGGTTACACAAAACTATGGGTGTGCTAATATCCATAGCTGTACAACAAAAATGTCTATTTCATGCAGGTTAATTTTTATTTTTAAAAGTCCTTAATAAGATTCTTATTTACTGTATATATGAGTATATATAAAGATGCATGACACCTATAAAGAATTTTTGGATGTTATACTATTAAAAAATGATGTATGCCTACAGGGTATATGGTATATGTACATAAGTCTCTTAAAAATACATAAACTCTGATTGGAATCTAGCCCAAACTATGAATACTCTTCAAAAAAATCAAATTCACACTTGAAAGGCAGAGGCAGATGGATCTCTGTGAGTTCAAGGCTAGTCTGGTCTACATAGTGAATTCCAGGACAATCAGGACTACATAGTGAGACTCCCTTCTCAAAGCAAACAAAGACAGAAGCAACAACAACAACAAAAAAACCAAAATCTGTGTTTCAAATTCAAGGTACAAAGTAGAACCAAGGATGAGTCCATATTTCTGTGTTTGGTTGAATGGACAATAGACACTCCAAGTAATAGAATTTTGAACAATTAATTTTTTCATTTTTTTAAAAAAAAGTTTTGTTTATTTTTGCATATATGGGTATTTTTTGTCTGCATGAATATCTGTGTACTGTGTGTGTACAGTGACTGCAGAGGCCAGAAGGTGGTGTCTGATCTCCAGGAACTGGGGTTTCAAATGTTTGTTAGCTATCATGTGGGTGAGGGAAACCAAACTAGGGTCTCTGCAAGAGCAGCAAGTGCTCAATTGCTCAATCATCTTTCCAGCCCCTGAACAATTAATTTTTGAAGTACTAATATAGAGCGATATTCAGATTCTAAAGAAAAATGGGAGGTTGTCATAACAAAAGGTGCATTTTGGTGATGCTTTCTTGGTCATATGGCTGATACATTAGCTGGATGAACTAACAATTTGAACACACCAATAAAGTTTGTCTGGACTGAGAGAAATACTAGACTGAACCCAGTAGTATCCTACTATGTTTGTCTACTGTTATTTTAATTTAACATTATGTTTGGAATAATTAAGCAATGAACTAGAGAAATAAAATTGATAAATAAAGGAAAGGTTACTCAAAATTATCTTTCCTCTTTGTATTAAAATACATTTATTAAGTAAAAACTAAGCTTTTCCTGCATATGGGCAGATCACCATCAGAAATTATAATCATAAAAGAGCCCACTCTAAAAATTACATTGACATATGAAAGAACAATGTTATAAAGCTTTGAAACAACTGTCATATTTCATTGATTGTAAATGTATTTCAATGTTTCATGAGTCACATATCTTATAGTTTAATTAGCAAGATTATTTTTCAGAGCTAATAAAATGATAGAAGGTTGTTTAGCAAATATAAGAGAGAAGATTTGTATAATCAACCAGACAATCCATGTTGAACTATGAGAAAATTTACTATTGTAAAACTGACAATTCTTTCTAAGTCAGCTCACTGGCTGCATATATTGGCCATCAAAATAATATCGGATTCTTCTCTTTTCTTTTTGATACAACAAAATGCTTCTAAGATTCTTCTAGAAGAAAATCACCAGAGTAAGACCATATTGGTAAACATGGGTCTGGGCATATATTTTTGATTGCTCTTTGGCAATATTCATCTAAATTTATAAATAATTGTTAATACTCAGAATTTATCCTTAGATCATGTCAGTTATTGATAGAAAAAAATTGTATAGTACTGCTTAAAATAGAAAAGAGTGCCAGGCTTGTAGCACACACCTTTAATTCTGAGTTCCATGCCAGCCTGGTCTACAAAGTGAGTAGACCAAGACAGCCAGGACTACACACACACACACACACACACACACACACACACACACACAAGCCTGTCTTGAAAAACCATAAAAGGGGGGCTGGGGCTGGATAGATGGATCAGTGGTTAACAGCACTGGCTGTTCTTCCAGAGAATCCAGGTTCAATTCCTGGCACCCACATGGCAGCTCACAATTGCCTGAACTCCCATTTCAGTGGATCTCACACCTTCACACAGACAAAACACAAATGTGCATGAAATAAAAATAGTTTTTTAAAGAAAAGAAAAACCAGAAAAGAGAAAGGAAGGAAGAAGGAAGGAAGGAAAGAAGGAAAAAGTTGTCTCAAAAGAAAGGAATCTGAAAAAGAAATGGCAGAGTGATTGCAGGGTTCTAGTTACTTCTTTTATTTAGGTGGTGGTTACACACATTTCATGGTACAAATTACTTATTAAATTATATCTTTGTTCTGTGTCCTGTCTGTGTGCAAAAGTCTCATAGTGAAATAACTAAAACTAAGAAAAAAACCCATGTTTAGAAACACTAGAATGTTTAGAAACATTTTATAACCAATGAAAGAATCAAGAAAATCCACAAACAAGGTCATGACAAAATGTGCCTCAACACTGTTTACACTCAGCCCTGCACTTGCACATAACAACTAATGAACCCGTTTTCACTGCTAATGTTCTATTCCGTAACTGTATTGCAATATACTTACCCATTGTGGTAGTGGTTGTAAGCCATCATGTAGGTGCTGTGGAAAAGCAGCCAGTGGTTTTACCTGCTAAGCCATAGCTCCAACCCCTCTCTAAACTTTCCATAAGTGGTTTTATATGGACACAGGAATCAAGGGATTTTCCCCCTAAATATAGGAACAACCAATATGTTCCAAAGCATCCAGAGATGACAATTACCTGGGAAGAAATCCTTCTGCAATTCTTCCACACACTTCAAATTCTTATGTATGCACACAGTCCTGCATCGGGGTGTGGTGTCTGTAACACTCCTCGAGATGATCATCTGAGGAAAACGGGAAAGCTCTGAGGAAAGAAGAAATAAGAATTGAGTACACAGTGCGTAGACCCCTCTTCATAGCTGAGCCATGTTGAACTAAAAGCTGGGATCTGCAGATATTTGCATTTCCAATACAGATCACCCAGAAACCAAACCCAGGTCCTCTGCAAGAGCTGTCCATGCTCTCAACCTCTGAGCCACCTCTTCAAATCCTTAATATTTATTCATATTGAAATAAATCGTTTTTTGAATACTGTTTTAAGTATATGTGAGTAGAAGCTATGAAGGTCAATGGTATAGAATCCTATGCAGTTTTGAAATAAACTTTTGTTTGTTTTGTGACTTTTGAAGTTACCATTGGCTTTCTCTCATCTTCCCTTTTCCAAAGCATATGCCTATCATATCCCTGTCATTTATGGTTATCATACCTTGGGTCTTGAAATGGGGAAATCCTGGTTTGTTCATGAAAAACCTCAAAGAAAGGATTAAGAATAAATTTTATAGGTTGTGAGATGGCTCAGCAGTTAAGAGCACTGGCTATTCCAGAGGACCCAGGTTCTGTTCCCAGCACCCTCATGATAGTTCACAACCATCAGTAACTCCGGTTCCAGGGGGATCGGATGCCCTCTTCTGGCGTCCACAGGCACTACACATACATTTTGCACAGATATGCCAGCAAAATACCTATGTATGTAAAATAAATTTGTTTTTAAATGAGTACTTTAAAAAAGGGAAGAGGACACTGTCAGGCGGTTAGAAAGGACACATCTCTTGTCCTTGTGGGAGGGGATTTACTGAGTAACTAAATGCAAGCCGGCCATCAGAAAAGAAGAGCTTTTAACATGCGCATCAGGCAAGCTGTGCTGGAGCCGGGGTTCACACCTGTCATCGAACACTCTTGAAGGATGCAGCGGGAGGGTTTTGAGTTTGAGGCCAGCCAAGGCTACCCTGACTCAAAATTAAACAAGAAAAGAAAGGATGTGGAGCAGAAGTAATTAGTTCCGATTGCCCCTGCACCAGCCTCTAATGGGACTGCCATTCTGATGAACACAGGATATTCAAGGGGAGCAGTCAGGGGGAAGGGCAGTGGCCTCCCATCTATAGGAACTGAGCTCCTACCCCCAGCAAACATTCTACAGTGTCAGTCCTGCTTCCTGACCTGTGTCGGTCTTTATCATCCACGCTGCCCAGTCCTTTGTGGCTAGCTGCTTCATCTGATTGTCCTTCATCTCCCAGGAGTCAGGTGCTCTGGAAAATGCTGCACAGCAGAATTGTTCCACCTTGATCACACAGACATACCCACGGACGGCCCCCTTATCATACACTTCCAGGAATTTGCAGTCATGTTGCACTTTATGGACTTGTGAACAGAAGTGATGGACAGGCATGCTCCTGATACAGCGGTCGATGACATTCAACAAGCTGGAATGATTTACTTTTTCCTTTTCGCATCCAATGACTTGACAGGTCTCGTCATGCACACCAAAAAATACATATCCTCCTTCAGAATTGGCAAGTGCAGAAACACACTTGGGGAGTTTCTCTTTAATGCCCTGGGTAAGGTCTACGGAGAACATTTGAAATTCAACGTGTGGGGACTCCGTAAAGTTGAGTTTTTCCAGGTACAGAAGCTGCTGCTGTTTGCCGAATAAATCAGCAGCTAAGATCATCTGATTATCAACTGGAGCCTCCTGTGGATTTAATGAGCTGGGATCATCAACATTCTCGAGAGCCTGGATCCTTCTTCTGAGGAATAGTAGGGCTTCTAGAGAATCCATGACCTCAGTAAATGTTCCACGTCTGTGGTACAAATTGGAACACAAGGTGGCGAGCTGCACTCCTGAGGGTGCCACCTCCCACGAATTCACAAATATTAAAAAGAGCTTTCCCTGCAACATCTCATCTATATGGTTTCTGAACAATGGCGGCAGATCCAGGCCCACTCCATCGCTCTCATAATTATAGTCTTCGTTCTCAATCTCAACCCTGACCACTCCCCCACCGGAATTCAGCAGAGCACACACTGCTTGCGAGATGGCCTCATCCTGTCTCATCCGGTGTGCGGGGTCCATCCCCGCCCTTTGTCTGACCCCTAGGGTGGCCTTTCCTCCATCTAGGATACATTCAGCAAAGTTCAATTCCAGATTTGCCAGGATACTCATCTTCTCAGCCTTTAGCACCAATGTTTTCCTGGAAGCCAGAAAGAGAGAAACATTAGAACAGGAGACGAATGGGAAGGTGGGAAACCAAATGTAAGGACACCTTTCTGAAGTCAGCCCTTTTATTCCCACACAGCTAAAAAAGCTAAGTCTGTGGATTGCCCACTTTTACCACAGAAACAGCCACAAGGCACTGCTCATCCTGATTTTGCTTTTTTTCTAAAATTTATTGTACACACACACACACACACATACACACACACACACAAACACACATCACAGCACGCACATGTCACGACACTTGCATGTGGAGGACAGAGGACAACTCTCAGGAGTTGGTTCTTTCCTACCTTGTGGGACCTGGGGATGAAATGCAGGTTGCCAGGCCCACATGCAAGCATCTCTACTCACTGAGCCATCTTGGCAGGGCTTACACTGTGATTTTGGGGACCATTTTGGTCAAGTTCTCTGAGTGGTAAAGTCTCTTGGGTCATCTGCAAAACTTGGGAAATTTCCTCATAGTACTCGTGGACTCCAGGTAGGAAGCTTCCTCAGTCAAATGCAATCTCTGCTGGATGCGGATGTTACCGTTTTTTCTTGGTTCTTTGCCTCTCTCCACTGATTGAGAGTGAGGGATTCTTAAGATTATTTTTTAATCCAATCTGATTCTGTTAGGAATTTATCATTGTTGCTATTGAACAGATCATTTTGAATCCTCTGATTCGGGTGGATTCCACTGTAACATAAAAGTTACGCACCCACACACACACACACACACACACACACACACACACTCATACACACACATTTTAAAACATACACATGAACACACTTGCGTGTCCCCACACACAATGTCCATGCAATGCAAATTTGATCTGGGAGGTTGAAACAGAATACTTGCAGCTATACCTGGCAGAATCTGGAGTTCTCTAAATCATAAGGAAAATTAGTAACTATTTGGAACAATAAGAACGTCAGTTTGATGTAGACTGTAGACATTTAGGAAGATGCGTGACTTTGTATACATGTAAGAAGCAGGTTTTTCTAGATGACTTAGAATACTCTGAAGAGCTGTCAACCATCAGGAAGAATGAGAAGTGTCTCTCCACCTGCATCTCATTATCTCCAAACTTTGACCCCAGACTCAACAATTTGTGTTCCCTCAAGAGGCTGTAAGCTAGATAGGTGACTTTTGGATCAAAGCTAAAATCTCAGGACAAAAACTCAGAGAACCATACCTGGTTTTATTAGTGACCTATGGTTCTTTGTCTAAATGGATACCAGTTAGAAAGAACTGCAAATTCATTGATCTGTAAGGCCAATTCTACCCTGAATATCTCATTGTTATGAGCAACACACACACACACAGAGAGAGAGAGAGAGAGAGAGAGAGAGAGAGAGAGAGAGAGAGAGAGGATAAAAAGGAATAGTCTGATTCTACCAAGGACTTCACAAAATGAGAACCATTAACAAAACCCAGGGACTAAACTGACAGTAAATAGCTGTGAAGTCAATGCAAAAAAAAAAAAAAAAAAAAAAAAATTCTGAGTCTGGGCTTGTTTACCACATGAGTGCAGAATCAACAAGCTCCTATCAGAAGTGTACAAGAGGTTCAGTGGACGTTCACCTGGCCAAAGGCTGGATCTAGAGCTGCAAGTAGTGAGACAGTGTCTTGTTGGAACCTCCAGGAAACTATGGATATTGATAAGAACACTCACTTGAGAACCTGGTATTGGAGGTCCCCTGAATGTGGGTGTCAGTTGGGAGGCCTGGGCAGTTTATGGGGTTTCTGGCAGTAACCAATATTTATCCCTAGTGCACAAATAGGCTTTGGGAGCCCATTCCCTATGGAGGGATACTCTCAGACTAGATATTTGGGGGAGGGCCTAGGCCCTGCCCCAAATGATGTGACTGACTTCAATGATCCTCCATGGGAGGCCTCACCCTCCCTAGGGAGTGGTTGGGGAGTGGGAGGGGGGGTTGGTGGGGAGGCATGGGAGGATGGGAGGGAGAGGGAACTGGAATTGGTGTGTAAAATAAGATTGTTTTTAATTTAAATAAAAATATATTTTAAAAGAGAGAGAGAGAAAATCTGGTATTGGTTCTGAACTCCCTATAACAAGGAATTGCATTGGCTATAACTCAATGACAGCCAGGGGAGTAAGGAAGCCTGCTAAGCAACCACAAAGGAAGGCTTGGGTGTGGTCTGACTGAGATTGTTACAGTACGGAAAGAGGCAAGCTTTGAGAAATAGATCGTCCTTCTTGATTAATTTGGGGAACATTATTGACTTCCTGACTTGGAAGTGGAGACAAAATTAGGGAAGTTGTCAGTTATTAGCCAATCAGCTTTTGAACAATCAGAGGTTGTATACTGGTTGCTACAGAGTGTGTGGTCAAATTCTTACTCTCTCTCTCTCTCTCTCTCTCTCTCTCTCTCTCTCTCCCTCTCACCCTCCCTCCCTCCCCACTGTTCCCTTGGGTTGGGCAGACATTTCATGTAAATTATATTAAATGCATAATAAGAAAGAAAGGGATGGAGAGATGTCTCAGTGAGAGTACTGGATGCTCTTCCAGAAGACCTAGGTTCAAATCCCAGCCCCACATGGTGTTCATAACCATCTGTAACTCCGGTTCCAGGAGATCTGATGCCCTCTTCTGGCTTCCAAGGGCACTGCATGCACATGGTGAACCAGCATGCATGCAAGTCAAACACCCAGACACATAAAATAAAGTAAGTCTTTTTAAAAAATATTTAGTTAGTTAGTTAGCTATTTGGTTTTTGGTGTTTTTTCAGACAGGGTTTCTCTTTGTAACAGCTCTGGTTGTCCTGGAACTTGCTTTGTAGACCAGGCTGGCCTCAAACTCAGAGAGAGCTGCCTGCCTCTGCCTCCAGAGTACTGGGATTAAAGGCATGCACCACCATGGCCTGGCTTATTTTTATTTTATGTAACTGGGTATTTGGTCCACATGAATGTATGTGTGTGCCTGAAATCTGTGGAGGCCAGAAGAAGGGGTAAGATTCCCCTAAACTGGAGTTACTGATGGTTATGAGCCACTATGTGAGCTAGGAATCAGCCAAAGCCCTCTGGAAGAGTAACTAGTACTCTTAATTGCTGAGCCACCACCCTAGCCCTAAACAAAGAAATCTTTCTTTAAAAATAGAAAAGAAAGCTGTCTTGAAAGATATAAGCACCTGGTTGAAAAAACAGATTTGCAAATTATATATATGATGAAGAATTTGTATCTAAATTGCATTCAGAAGCTGTAAAAGGCATTAAGAAAACAGGAGCGAGCTAGGCTGTGGTGCAGCACTTGCCTCGCACAGGGGATATCCTGAGTTTGCTTTCCATCACCACCAGAAACCAAAACAAAGCCAGGAAACAGGAAGGTGGGCTTGGTGACCACCTTGGGACCTGAAACCCTGTGCTTAGTGGAGGTAGGATTTCTATGCTGGGCTGGGATATATAGCTAGACCCTGTCTAAAGAAAGAGAGCTGAGGTGAAAGATGGAAGGTAGAAAGAGAGGAAGAGTGAGAAGGGGGGGAAGAAGGATGAAAAAGAAGTTTTACAATGGATAAAGGAGATGCTAGAGAGATGATTCAGTGGCTGCTTTCCAGCCAACCTGGGTTGGATTCACTAACGCCTCATTAAATCTAAGACTACACAGATCAAGTATCTTGAAGACACAAATTTAAAATATTTCTTTGGGATATCATAAGTTCAAAACCCACCAGGAAACTAAATCTATGGTAAAAAAAAAATCAATGGCTCTAATTTTACATACTGCACTTTGAGACTTTTTTTTTTTTAAAGGTGGGGTCCCTAGTACTTACTTCAAAGACTGAGTTGGCCTTGAACTCATAGGGATCCACCTGCATCTGTCTCCCTGTTGCTGGGATTAAAGGAGTAAGTCTCACCAGGCACTTTAAGATTTGGGGACTTTTAAATGGCTCCAATTTTTGTTTTCCTGTTCCCTGATTTGTTTTAAGTTTAGACTTCCCAGATCCACCAAGTCCTCTCTCAGTGATAACCTAGTGTGTAGTGCAGGAAACGGCAGCCTTATCTCCCTTACAGTTTCATAAGACCAGGATGTAATCTCCTCAAGGAATTTGAGAATTTTTTTTTCTGTTTTGTTTATTTCATCTGTTTTGTTTATTTCATAATGTGAGGGACATTAGTCCTTCACAAAGTACTCCTCCAAGACACCAGGCTTTCTGAGACTATTGTTTGGATGCAACAGAGACTGTAGAGAGTCCTCCCACCAAGATAATTCTGAAATAGATTTCAGCTTTCTGGTGGGCATAATTTCTATCCGGCCAGGAAAGCACGTAATCACTCTCTTCTTTCACTTTCACAAAGATAGTTTTTAAATGTCTCCTGGCATTTAAACCCTTCCTTCTGGTGCAGGATGCTGTCACACTAAGTAGCTAGCTGCTCCACACACACACACACACACACACACACACACACACACACACGAGATCAGTTTCTATTTCCCCCTCAGGACAAGCCCAGTTTTGGTCTTTTGAGTAGAGAGTGCCAGGCAGGCCACCTTCGGAGACTGCACCACTTCCTCTTAGGAGCTTCACTTTGAACCACCAGCCACCACCTCACCCCAACCCTATCAGAAGAGGACCTGAGGAGCTACTACCAAATCCCCTCCCCTCTCTTCCTCACTTCTGCTTTCAGAACCACCCTGTGTTAAAGGGAAACAGAGTCACGCTCTGCAGACCTGCTTCTTCGGACTGCCCATTGAATTGTACTTAACCCGGTTGTCATCAGTGCTGGCGTCTGGAACACTAAACCAGGAGCTTAGAAGCGGCTCTGGTGACAGCCCGGACACTACCCCTCTACTCCCCTGGGACAGACAGGACCTCACTTGGCCTCCTTTCTCAGGACGCCCGGTACCTGTTTGCTCTCAGGTGCCTCAAGACAGATCTTACAAGACTGGGTTTGGGGCGGTTTGAGGTTCCTCTTCCCAAGCCTCCCGGCTGCCCAAGCC